GTGAAGAAAACAAAATCATATAATTTTGAAATTATAGGAGAATGAACTTTCAGCTTTAATGCTAAGAAAAATATTTAATAATTTTCCATATCATATTTTAAAATGAATGAAAAATAAGTATTTTCTTCAACAATATTTTCTTGCAATAAAAATAGCAATAGCCACTACCTTATTAGTTATAAGGTGATGTATTTCTAATAAAATTTTAGGCAAAGATTTAAGTAAACGAAGGTAAAAGGAAAAGATGATATTTATCACCAAAAAATAATGGAATAGAGCAAAGACTTGTCCGATCCTCAGGTTCATCAGACAATATTTACATTTCCAATGTCTTTGTCCGAGATAAAATTACAAATTGTAAATGTACTTTATTTTCCCATCAATGTATTGGCGCGGTTCCAAAAAAAAAAAAAAAAAAAAAAAAAACACGTGCAGGGCGGAACAGAAGCAGGGTTCGGAGCACGTGGATTGGCGGAATCAAAGCATGTAAATATAAGGAATAACTGTCTTATTTTTCAATTTCATGAAGATGATCAATCGATTGGCTTGCGTGATAATTTTATGCATAAACGCCTTCAGCGTTTAATGCAAATTATCACGCAACCCAATCGATTGATCACATCATGAAATCGAAAAATAAGACAGTTATTCCTTAATTCAAGCATTGATTAATTGAAAATGCTCACAAAATTATCTTTGAATTCTCAAAGAAATGTCTATTTACCCACAATAATTCTTCAACCTTCATCTCCAAAGATGTTATATAAGGAAACTTAGTATATCTCCATTTAAAAAAAAAAACGAATAAATTAAAAAACGCCTTCTATGAATTTTCTAATTGAAAACTGATCACTATAACTACATTTTGAAATGAGAATTTGAAGGTATCCAGGCCTCTGAAGAAAATTGATTTTTAGCCGGGCTTATTGCTCAAAGAGCAATTGCCGGCTTATGTGATCCTGTTCAAGGCAGGATGTTAACCCCATAGTCGCCATTTTAAAGTTACGTGCAAAAATATAGTTCTTACTCTCAACCGCTTTTGAGATAATACAAACGCTAAATAAAGCAACAAAAATAAAACGAAGTTTTATCTATATAAAATAAACATGAGTAGTACACGCATTCTCAATTTATAGTGCCAAATCGACTTTAAGAAAAGTCAAAAAATTTTGTGAACTGAAACTAACACTTCTATATGCCATTTGAAACATGAAGGTGTATAGTTATTAAAAATCACAATTTGATTTACATACTTCATGCTGTGTTTTGTTGACCTCCTTCGAAATGAATGCGGTTGGAGAGCTAATTTTACACCAAGATATTTACGTGATGTTGAAAAGCAATATATGGAAACGAAAGAATTTTTTTGAAAAATACAAAATTAAGATAATACACATCAAATTTTGTTAACTATAAACATTTATGAAACCGTTTAAGCACATTTGTTAAAGGGTGTGAAATCTTTGATTCAATTAGTAAAAACAAAACACGCATACTTTTCATTAAAATGAAATTATTTTCTTTTTATTTTAAAAAAGTTTTTATCAAATCTGACGATAAGCTAAATAATGACAATATTCCCTAAAATGCTTCATTATTTGATTCTTTTCTAATCTGTTCAGAGAAACGCACATTATTTAGAATACCAGAAGGTAAAACATTTCGCCATTACCTGATTACGAAGTGTTTATTAAATATCACGTAAATATCGCACATAGATATCATACAAAAACAAGAAAACCTTTGATGTAACCATCAATTGTCGCCCGGGAAATATATAAAGTAAACAATGGAAATGACTCTTGATCATCAAACCGCTTCGATATGTGTGAAAAGGCATGCGTCTAATTGATGGAGACGATAGTCGCGAATATTTGGAAAACTTATAGTCGGATAAATGTAAAACAAAAACGAATACCATTTTAAACTTCAATTCCTCGAGTAAATGTTGGCTGCATAAAATATAGATTGAAGTTAGACACATGCATCACCTATATTCAAAAATGCACTTAATTTTCAATTTTAGAATATAAAACACGAACTATGCAGAGTACGTTTTTATGCGCGAAGTAAAATTCGATGTTCTAATAAAAGGGACCTGTCGTTTTTTTCGATAGTAAATGATATACAACTTTATATATCAAATATGAAAAACATAGATATTTTTACAGATTCACTTTATGGAAGTAAATATATTATGTATCTCGTAATTTATAAAGGGAAAGGACATTCTGATTAGCAATCTTTTCAATGTTTAGAAAACCTTTAATTTTGAATAACTACTCCCACCCAAATCCCCATATACCAACACTTAAACTTATATGTATAGAGCAGCCCGGTCCTCCGGGCTGCAATAAAAGTATATTCGGGGAAAAATGTATTATTTCAAATTATTGAATTTTATGAATTTTCTTATCTGTGTTCTTGACAAAGGGTTGCATTAAAAATTGAAAGTTATGACTTATCTATAGAGGATTCATTTAATTTATGACCCCCCCCCTTTCCACCATTTAATCTGTTGATTATTTCAAATGCTTAATCGCTTGTGAAAACATTATCGTCAAATCTCAAAAACAAAACAAAGTTACCCCCACCACCCTTAAAAAGGTTTGTTAATAATTACAGTTGCATATTATATGTGCTCTATAGAGCAATATATGTACATTCTATATTAATATAACGTAAATTGAATTTGCAGTACCATTAAAGCATAGACGCATTCGTTCTAAGTTCTGTGTCTAAGCAACAATTTAAATGGGAAAAATTAGGTCTACAATTTAATACATGTATTTCTTGCAAACAACAAAAATGGAAATGGATTCAATTTCGACTAGTTTCTTGACACCCAACACCCACAGCCGTCGTTTTTCTGTAACCCGATGTGGAAGAGCCCCCCCCCCCCCCCCCCCCCCCCTACATGCAGCGCAGCACCTATTTTCTGGAATTATATTTCCTACGAAAAATGATATTTTCTTCTTCAAAATGTTTAGCTTGGTATACAATTTAGGTGTATATAACTGTTATTTAAGTGGACGATACACTATCAGTTCAAACAAACAGCAAAATACAAACTTTAAGAAAGTTTTGTTTCAGATTTACGTTCCGAATGATAACGTGCATTACACTTAAAACTATGCAATATTAACCTATTGCTCAAAATGGAAACATTCGATCATTCAACCACAATTTTACTTGTGAATATTATGTCAATTCAATTTTCAAATCACACGGATGCTCAAGATATTGTGTAGAATATGTTCACTTTTGCATGTGCACTTCCATTTGCATTTCTGCACTCTTGTTACAGAACAAAAATTTCATTTTAAGAAACAGTGTATTTCTTCATGTTTTTAGTTTCTAAATCATTAAGATTCACTCGCAAATCTGTTCAAACAGCTTTAGAATTTAATCCTAATTTACTTTTAAACATGGTAACGTAAATATTGGTAACGTAAATATCGGTAACGTAAATATCTTTCTGAGATTTATCGTAACTTTTAATGATGTTGTTTGATTATTCCACTGTTAATTAAAGGCATGTTCTAGTGCTTGAGTGTAAGGCAATTTGACCCATAGGAAACAGTGTTGTTCTCTTACTTAATTTGTGAATAAATACTAACACGTAAATATCGATGAATTTTTTAACCATTGGACTCATAAGAAAAGGGGGGCTATTTTTTATAAATACAGATAAACAGTGTCTTTTTTACCATTCCATGCAATGGAACAGGTGTTCATGATGTTAAAAAGTTGCAACTTAATCTTATTGAGTCAGTTCAGCAATCCTTCAAGTCCTTTTGAATTTCCAAATAGAAAAGTAATAATTTTGCGGTGACATCAAAATTTGATAAATATATTAATTTTTTAAAAAATTTGTGACAAGCATATGTGTGAAGGGTGTGATATTCAGAAAATATAACTCAAATGTAGGACAATCTTACTAAGAAAAAGATATGTAAGTGATTTAAAACTTCTTTTTGGTTTAAAATAAAAACTACACTATGATCGGCGACAGTAACGTAAATATCGATTTCTGCTATAAAATGCGATTTTCCTCTAAGACAATCATTCAAGTTAAAACAAACAATTGTTGTAATTTAATCAACAACCAACAATGGTTCATATGACTGGCAGAAAATAAAATTTACTAGAAGTATTATATTACTTAAAACATGGTACATTATTTAAAGCGAATTGTGACTATAATTTGAGAATCAGTGAGTAATGACTTTGAAAACTTCATAAGTCAAAGAACATAGTTCATTAGCGTAAGGATTTTTGATAATCAGTGTTACCGTAGTTCTCTACACATACGAGGTGAAGCAGGAGAGGAAACCAGACTGGCCTGTTTGTTTACATTCAGCTGCGGTACCAGATTAATTCTGATTCTGACAAAATCGGACGGTGGTATTAGGATTGAAAAAATCACTGTCAGTGTCTTATCATTTATATCGATAGTTTTAAAATAATTTTTTCATCAGAATATAAACGTGATTCATGTAAGAAATCCATTCTACTCTGTAAATGAGCCCGGCTCTCTGTACTTCTGAGTACTTTGATTATACTTATAAAGTACTTTAGTTTTATTCTATCTTATAATGCTTAGTATACATGTAATAAAACATTTCTATTGCATAATACCATAAATTATAACTTCTTATTTCTTATCGTGCTAGTAAAGATAGGTATCTAAGACTATATGAAAGAAAATGTTATTTCTTTAAATATGTGTTTTTTTTAAAGATACTTTATTCGATACAAATATCATTTTTTCAGAAAACATTTTCTAAGAACTTTAAAGAATATTGAATCACAATGAGATGCATATTATGAAAATCGTTGCATAAAAAGATTCAATTTCAAGCTTCATTTTGAGACATTTTGAACTAAATTATAAATTCAAGAGTAATCTTGGCTGAGGATCGGATATCTTTAAATAAAATCTGAATCCATATTTTTCTCTAAACAAACATATTTCTCTGAACAAACATATTACTCACGTAGCTAACTAATCCGGAATCAAGATAGTCGAAGTTTGGATCGTCCACGAGCTCTCCCGGAAACTTGTTGGCGGTGGAGGTCCGCAACTCACAAATCATCAGCTTTTTATTGAAATTGACGGACATACAGAGTTTCCGGGACTTACATTCTTCTATACACATCTGGGGACCCCTGACTGTCATGTTAAAAAGGGTGTGACCAATCAGGCGCTTGCCGAGATTGAATTTCTCGTAAAAATTTGTAAGAGACCAAACGGATGAGAGAAAAGTAAAGAAGAAAAGTCCAGTGGCAAGACGACTGTACATTTTCACCATTGCCTTTAGAAAGGTATCATCTATCTGGAGTTAATAAACATTATGTTTGTATTCTTATGTTACAATGTCATGTGTAAAAAATCATTAAATTCACAAAGAAAGTTTCCTACTTATTTTATAGGGCCAACAGAACGCAAATTCTAAATAATTGATATTGTACTCGAACCAATGAGGCCTTCTTTGTGTAAATAAATTATCGCTTTTAAAGTCCCCTGCTGTCCATGTCTTCCTTACAGAGGGTGAAATTGAGAAAAATAGCTGCTTAAGTTTTTTACTTATGTTTAAAAGAAATCAATAATTTTCATGTATTTAATTTTGTGTTCTCAATTAGTACATAGTAGCAAAGAATGTTCAACTACATTGTGGGTACATTTCAAATTAGAAATAATTTGCTGAATAAAAGTTCACAATAATAATCTGAAGACTTTCTGGAATCGATTTATCTGGTATCTAAAGGCGTCTTTGTTTAGAGTTATAAATGAATACTTATACATCGAAAATTATTCTGACAATCAAAACAAAAATCCCTCTATCTCAAATTACTCTCTCTCTCTCTCTCTCTCTCTCTCTCTCTCTCTCTCTCGCAACAGTTATAGGTCTTGTGGTACATCTGCGTACAATACTTGAAACAAAATGTATTTCAAACATAAACATTGAGGTAAATTTTTCATTTTGATTCACTTGATACAAACATTCCATTGAATTATAATTCGACATTTCCTTGATTTAAAGTTCACTTATTACTAGCTCTGATACATATAACACCTTCACTCTGGAAAAGGTTTTAAACAACCATGTAGATCCTCAATATCCACATCATTAAAGTTCGGGAAAACTAACGGAAGTTCAGATGTCGTCTGGTCCACAGCGGGCTTCAGAAGTTTGAACAACAGGAGTGATCCGGCGGCCGACAGATGGAGTCCATCACAGAGTAGATCCTGCCAATCCTGGCCAGGAAAGACATGCAACATAAAAAACACTGCCATAGTTACCATCAGTGATATTTCAAACGAAAAAAACATTAATGCTTACATCACGTTTCATCATGTTTCCATAGAAATCCACTGATTTGGTTCCACACTCCCTAGCAGCGTCTAAGCAGACATCGGCGTACTTTCCCGCTGTTAGGTTACATTTCGTAAAATCTTTGTCTGCCAAAATTAAAAGTACACCTGTATTATTTCCCGAACCAAGGGCTTGTGAAAGTAAAAGTACATTTGAATCCAGAATTACATAAAAGAAAATTTTTGAAAAAATTATGCATTACAAGTCACCAGTAATAGTCAGTTTGCTATTTAATTTAATCAGCAAAAACACAACTACACGTATGGTAAAACACTGAACACCTACTACTTTCCAAGCAGAATTTCTTCCATGCCTTTTCATCACATGCCGGTGGAGATATCAAAACAATTTTTTCCTTTGGGATTCCCTTTTTCTTATTGGAAATAAGATTGTCAAAAAACTTAATTATTAAAAATAAATTTAATTCATGCATTTTCTAAGGTTTTAGATGTATTTTGAATACTGTATGCGCCCTTGTAACATCAATGTTAGATTTTTATTCATCTATGCAATGTTTGTTCTAAATTATTCACATGAACATGATCAAGTAGACAAAAGTAGATAGATGACTGTATTATCCATAACCTTTGGTTCACATGGTAACAACAGTCGTCTATCAGCCTTACCATCATCATATCCACCATGTCCTTTAGATCCTGTTTATAATCCGCCAGGGGAACATGTTGTCTTTTGTTCTCCGGAAGATTGGAGTCGTTGGCTCCAAGAAAAATGGTTGCCAAGGCGATATCTTCTGGATCAAATTCATTCAGAATGTCCGGCAAAATGATTTTACACCATTTAGAATTATATCCTGAAAATCCCCGATTTATGACGTCACATTTTCTAAAATCATACAGAACATAACTGTTAATTATGATATGAACAGATCAGGAAATGTAAATAAAAATATTTCAAAGATTAATAAGGAATACTAGTAGTTTTTCCCTTTTTTTTGTTTTCAAGTTTTACCTTTGAAGATAGTCAGCTAGCAGAGAGGCGTAACTGCCATCTTTTGAAAAGCCAAACTGCAAATGAAATTGAATTTGTTGGGTCGTTAACATGCATAAACTAGTCAAAAAACTTTTCTTCTTATCTTACTATAAAACGAACTTTATCAATGATAACATATAGAGACGAAGAACAGCATCCAAGCCCAAAAGTCCATAAATCAATACAAAACGGAAAGAGCAAACACGGACCTCCAAAAAAATCGGAGGTGGGATAAGTTGCCTTGGAGGAGTGAGCATGCACTGCCGACTGCTCACAGCCACTATGTGCTCCTATTTAAGATCGGGAAATAATGGGAAAATTCGTCGACAATTGTGTATATATTTTGTAAATAATGGCTTAATAATTAGTATGAAAACATCAGTCAGCAGTTGACTAAATGACAAATTGTATTTGCTGATAAAGTCGTTGTATATATCGAACATAGAACTTACGAAATTACGACTTTAAACGAGACTGCTGATATTCTTGTTTCAGCAATTTGTCTGTCAATAATGTGCCTCGTTTACAAATTGTTCAAATGTAGAGTATGCTCTTGCGTAATTTAATCAACTTCGAGATATAACCCCCGTATTCAGGTGATGAAAATCATTTGGATCACCTCGACCAATCACACCATTTATAAGTAATGCAAAGTCCCAACAATGAAATGATCTAGCACTGTACTTCCCTTCATGCAACATTTATGCAAGTTTGGACATGGTAAGGCGTCCAGGAATTTGGAAATGGACATTACCTTATCTTCGAACCTTGTCACTCATTTGAAAAATGCAGGTAATTAGGATCACGCAAAGGAAATAAGTCTGCTATAGTGGGCATCTCTTGATGCGTCACCGATACACTTTTTCAGTCTTCGAAATAACCTGGGTGCCCCATGCCCGGGACCTGGTAAATTTGCCAGCGGGCATGTGAAAATTCTTAAATTACATGCCCGAAGGGCATGTGTGAATTTTCTTTCGATTCACGATGTTTACTTGCTTTTTCTTCTGTCGTACCCCGGTTACTCTCGTAAACTTGCTATGTAATGTCATAAGATGAATTGCTAGTCTACATTCGTCATACGTTACATTATCGGTACGACCTGTAAAATGATTGTCAATCGTAACCATTAAAGTGTTTAATTTAACCGATTTGTTTTCTCGATGTTTCTTGCTAAATTACAATATGTTTATTGATACTACGTGCAGTGGACTGCTGTCATAATGATCATGATCCTGTATCTGAATTTCAGTTCAGCTATACTGGCCAACAAATTACCAGCATGCGACGCAAAAGTTGTGAACAAAAAACGTATACGAAAATGGCAGACAGACAGGCCGCGGTTGATTTAAAACTCTGGAAACAATTTAAACTTAAGATCAAGAGAATTTAAAAACAGAAACATTATCCTCATGGTTATATAAAAACCTTATTTTTTGTTGCACAATCATATCTCTGCTATATGAATGAATTTTGAGTAGGGCATGTACAAATTTCAATGGGCTGGGTTAAAATGACTGGTACACATGCCCAAAGGGCATGTGCTGAAAAAGAATTGTTGTGAAGACTGCTTTTTGTCCAAGTAGTCCACATAGTCACTCGTCAGTAGAATAGACCTGATGAAAAATCCAACTTTGTAACTCATCCAGAAAAAAGCAACTATGTACAGCAAGTAGTTTACATTCGTTGATATAGCACCCATGCAAGTGCGCTGTATGAGGGGTTTATAATTATATTACTATATAAGTAAGGGAACTTGGCGATAAAAAATTGAAAGTCATCTCGTTCAACTTGGTTCTATTCTTTTTCTATTAAAACATGAAACAGATGTACAATCCTTTATTTCTAATTTATTGGAATATATCGAGACGACATATGAATGGAAAAAACTATGGTTATTTGATAATATGTCTTCGATATAATTTATATCTTATCTATTGTGAATGTAGAACTGAAGACCACAGTTTTGTTTCTTCCTCGTTTCTCTTTATATTCTGTTTCGCTGTAAATGCTTAGACATTAATTATCGATGACCCGATCAGTTTTCCGTAGTCGGTGTTTTTACCGGCTGTAGGTAGACTCATGTAGCGACCAAAACATATCATTGCGGATATTTTCCTTTTTAATTATGACCATATATACGCGTAATTAACAAGTAATTTAGTTGTCTTATTCATACATGTATGTCCGACATTTCCGGGTGTAGGTATGTACAGGGTATATGAAATGTATGCAATATTTCAACGTCCCTCAAAACAGTCAATAAAACATTGCTATATCATGTTAATTTCTATTAATTCGAGGTCTTACCTGTGTAAGAGAATCACCAACAAGAAGAACCTTCTTCCACAATGACTTGGCGCGAGATTTGTTTGTGGACATTTTGTTAGGTCAGCATTGGGGTAATAGTCAACGTGTTGTATGGAGAGTCATTTCTGTAAACAATAACAAGAAAAGTAGCTACTTGGATAGATAATATCAAGTTCAACAACGTCCAAGAAGTGTTATCATCATTGTCACCTTTTACATGTTTATCTTCAAAACTGAACTCATTGTCACTAAAAGTTAAAAAAAATAGAATTATATTTTATCCTTACGCTGTCTGTGAATTGTAAGTTTTAACTTTTCTTTGGAATCATAATGGCTGTCAATGTGTTAAATGCGACGACGTCTGTCAATTTGTGCACCGATGTTATGTAGCAAAATACTATAATAAGCTTTAATTCGAACATTATAATGGCCAAGTGTGAAAAGTTTGCTGATTTACGGGAAACTTTCAATGACGTTTCTAGTAAAACTCGATATTTTTTAAAAAGTAATCTCCCTCACTGTGTTGTTCGTGTCAAACTTGAAACCATTACACATACTGTAATACACAAGTGGTGCTTGCACGAAAGTTAAAAAGGGTTCTATATATATATCATTATACATTTTCATGGAGAGTGTAAGACACGTTTTCTCTATGCAGGTTAATAGTGGAATACTAAAACACTATCTTGAAAACTAAGTACATATAGGTAAATTCAACACGTATAGTATTTCTACATAGCTATATGTAACTGATTTTTTAAAAATAACTCTAATAAATAAATTTTAAATAAAACAGAGTAAATTATAGGACATGAAGCATCCAATTGTTTTTGGACACCTTGGGAACTTTTGGCGGTCACACATCTTCACACATTTAAATTGTTTTTGAAATTTTTGGAGATCAAACACAGATCATTATTTACGTCACTTTTTTTCACATGAAATGTAAAAACAGGGTTTTGCTGCCAACAAGTTCTGTATCATTCGGTATGTTTTAATTACAGAATACAATCATGAATCCTAGTCTTCAGATTCTTTTAGACACAATCGACAATTTTTGGATACAAGTTTTGTTTATTATGAAGATGAAATATGTAAAAAAAACGAACGGTATTCGAAATCAAAGTCCATTAAACCTTACAAAATAGGAGCAGAGCAAACACGGACCTCAAAAACATCCAAGGTGGGATCGGGTGCCATTGAGGAGTGAGCATACTCTGTCGACCGGTCACACCTGCATAGCATTCCTTTTAATATTTAGTGAAAAAAAGGTGAACAGTGAGCAATCTCATAAAATATTAACAATGCAAATCTGTTGACAGGACATAAACAGGGATCGACCCTTGAAATTCCAGAGGTGAGATCAGGTTCCAATGAGGAGTAAGCACCCCTTGTTGACATTTCACGTCCGTCGTGAGCCCTGTATAAAGATCAGGTAAACAGAACATTCCACATCTGAATTAAGCATAAAAACAAATGCTTATTGATTTGAATGAAACATATCAGCCCAAATTTGACCCAGTGATAGGTTATATTACCTTACAAGGTCATGATAAAGTCAAATAATTTAACAAAATGCTGGCTATAAGCGAGGATTTTGAAATTAAAAAAAAACTTCTTTTGTACATTCTCTAATTATTATCATTTATTTTGTACCTTGACCTTAATGTGGGGTGAGGGCTAAAATAGGCTGAGCCTGCAGCCTAATCCTATTCACAATAACATCAGTGACTAAAAATATTGTTTAAAATAAAATTCAAGAACACCAACTCAGCTGTCCATAGCCTCGGTTTAAAATTGGAGAAGATCTTATTTGGAGCACAAAGGATAACAAGTTTTAAATCATTCAATTCAAATGATGTAAGTTCACGCAATTTCAGATGAAGTCTTTCAACGATTCCTTTGTAGCAATAATACAAAATTGTTAATTTTTCGTCTTTGAACAAAAAATGGGGACACAGGTAAGAAATTGATGCAAAAAAATATAGAGAAGAAACAGCTGATTATTTTTATGAACATCGGAAGGGAAAAATACATGCAAGTTGCATTTTCAAATAGTGACCACGTACGTGATTAAACTTAATAAGTCAATTTCGTGTACCCGGCGCGGCTTTGCTTCGCCAAGTAAAAAAATATTACAAACCAACTAAAGTCTGTTACTCCATACCGTATCTACAAGACATTGTTTCTGATAAATCCTGCGTGGCTGTTTTAAATTTAGTTTCAAGTAAGCAGGGGGACAAAATAAGTTTTTAAATCTTCATGCTACCGACAAAAGAAAAATAACTCGAATAGAACAACAAATAACTGCCTCGGTTGTAATGAAATATATATTGAGATGTCAAACAGTAATTCCATTAACATTTACAATTGAGCAGTAAACTATGGACCTCTAAAACATCGGAGGTGGGATCAGGTGCCATGGAGGAGTGAGTATCCCCTGTATCTCACCCACCGTATAGTCCTTTTCAATTAAAAATGAAATTATCGTAATGTTAAGTCTTTTAGATATAAACAAATGACTTGCAATATTCAACAAAGATAGTGGTTCCGCATGTCATGTAGTTCTTTGATAAATTGTACAGGGCATGATAAGAATGTTTGATTATGTTGATGCTACCAGAGATGTATACCGGTGAAGGCCTGCAAATTTAAACCTGTACCTAACACGAAGCCCTTTGAGAAGAGAGGAATCTTCTTTGTGGCAGCATCTTACTGGCGACACTGGAATCCTTTAAATAATAATGCTCTTATCCGAATTCGAAGGACCCGTCTCCATTACCTGCAGTGGAATTCGAGCCCACAACATAAGGATAAACTAAGCCTTACTCGGCTACTCAGTAATTGATGCTTGTTCTGAGTTAGATTGATTTTCTGAGTTTGATTATTTTTTCAGCAAAGGCAAAGAACTGAAAAAAAATTAATGCTAATGAGGTTTTTGAAGTTGATCGACTCAGAAAATTAATTCAAAGTCATCATTTCACAAATTCTATGGTCGTTTAGGAAACTGGTATAATCATACAATTTATTTTCTGTTGTTAGGACATAATTTGACAGACACTTAAAAATAAATTTCGTAAGGCTATTACACAGGCACTTGTTTCGGAAATAATTTTTTAACCCATAGTATATTAATAATACAAGGTATCTAACTCCGAATTACACACAGTACCGCCCTCCTCAGAAATGCACTCATTTACACATTCAGGGGAAATACACTGGCAAACTTTTTATTACCATTGTCTTCTACGATGATTTATCTACACAGCTATATACGGCATGCATGTCTTTGTTTTCATTTATCTCCGTAAACAGCGTCAAAACTCTGCCCGCCGAGTTAAAAGGGGAACTCAACCACGAAACGGTATGAGCTAATCTCGGGCAAAGCGCAAAAATAAATAAATCAGTGAGTTTAAAAATTCAATTCCAGATTTAAAATATTGCATTGAATAAATAAAATTTGATTGCGTCTCATTTTTCATAAAAAACACCACGACATTTTATTGATGTAATTTAAGATACAGATTTTTAGCCAGTCAAAATTGTGCGGGATCAGCACATACCGTATCGTGGTTGAGTTCCACTTTCTACTCGGCGGGCAGAGTTTTGACGCTGTTGACGGAGATAAATGAAAAAAAAGACATGAATCATCATTCAGTATTTTTTTTTTAGATAGACTTGTGTTCTTGTTTTGTTGCATAAAAATCAATCAACTGAATCAAAAAATAAAGAATTTAATAATCCATAACTTTACCCGTTTACATTATACGCGTAGACAGTGTATTACACGTTCTAAACTTGCAGCTACACGTCGGATTTGACATTATGATGTCGAAGAACACAACAATTGATTACGTCACTCGTAAAAGTTCGTCGCAAATCGTGTAACTAAACCTCTCTAATAACAAGGATCTTAAATGGAGGAGTGAGTACCCCTGCTAACCGGTCACACCCGCCGTGTGCTTCTTGTCATGATCGGGAAATAACGCAAAAATCCGTCGTCAATTCAATGTATAAATAGTGGACTAATAATTAGTATGAAAAACGTCAGCATTTGACTCAATGATAAATAGTATTTGCTGACAAGGTCTTTATATCGACCATAGAACTTACGAAATGATGACTTTAAACGAGACTGCTGATATTCTTGTTTCATCAACTTGCCTGTCAATAATTTACCTCGTTATAGATATTGTACATACGTAGAGCATGCTCTTGTACGGAAGCCCATTTAGGACCTATTGAAAAATATTATTGAATCCGATATAACGAATTTTCCAATTTGTTATAACGAATCTAATACGATAAAATAACAATTTCTTTGAATTTATTATAACGATTTTAATCTGTTATAACAAATTTTTTGAATTCATTATAACGAATTCTTTAATTTGTTATAACGAATTAAATTCGTTAAAACGAATTCAAAAATCTGTTATAACAAATTAAATTCGTTTAAACAAATTCTTAAGTTTGTTATAACAAATTAAATTCGTTAAAACAAAGTCCAAAGTTTGTTATAACGAATTAAATTCGTTTGATCAAATTCAATAATCAGGGTCTATAGAAAAATATATATGATTCGATATTACGATTTGTCGAATTCGTTTTAACAAATTTAATTAGTTATAACAAATTATGGAATTCGTTTAATTGAATTCAATTCGTTATAACAAGTTTTAGAATCTGTAAAAACGAGTTTAATTCGTATTAACAAATTTTTGAATTCGTTGTCACGAAATCAACAAATTTGTACAAAAGATTAAATTCATTATAACGAATTCAAAGAAATTGTTATAACGAATTAAATTCGTTATAACAAATTCGACAATTCGTTATATCGGATTCAAAATTATTTTTCGATAGGTCCTAAATGGGCTTCCGAACTCTTGCGTATCGAATCAACTGAGATAATTCACTCCGTATGCAGGTGATGAAGGTATATTGCTGCATAAGTAAGGGAAGTTGACGATAGAAAAGTTGAAGTCATCACGTCTATCATATAGCTTGGTTGTAAGATTACCATTAATGTCTTTTTCAAGTAAAATATCCAAGTATGAAACAAATGTGTCAGACTGTGTGGTATCTTATATCACAAGCTCTCCAGTATATATCATATCGATGTAGGAATGGAAATTA